TAAAAAAAAAAAAAAAAAAGTAAAAAAAAGAAGAAAAAAAAATGTAGGAAAAAAAAGTTCAAAGTGGTTATCAGAACAGGCTTTGAAACTTGCTCTTAGTAGAATAACTACAGCAAATGGAAGAAATGAAGAAGCCAACGAGCTGAATAGAAAATTCCAAAGGGCAGCTCCATAAGACGAAGACAAATATTATAATGAAATGTGCAAAGACCGAGAATTAGAAAACCAGAAAGGAAGAATGCACTCAGCATATCCTAAACTGAAAGAACTCAAGAAATAATTCAAGACACGAGCTGCGATATTGAATTCTATGGGGAAAATATTGAATTTTACAGGAAGTATCAAAAGATGATGGAAAATACCATTGTACCTACAACAACTAGTGTACATTTCAGACAGTAGCATGTCAGAAAGACCAATGGTGAAGGAAGAAGTTTAAACAGAACTATAAGCATTAGTCAAAAACAAGGCTCCAAGAATTGATGGGATATCAATTGAAATGTTTCAGGCAAGGTGAAGAAGCACTTAAAGCACTCACTCAGCTATGCTAGGAAATTTGGAAGATAGTTACTTGGCCAGCTGACTGGAAGAGATCCATTCCAAAGAAAGGTGACCCAATAGAATGTTCAAACTATCAAACAATATCATTGATATGACACACAAGTAAAATTTTGCCGAAAATCATCCAACAACGATTGCACCAATACAGACAGCTGCTAGAGATTCAAGCCAGATTCAGAAGAGGATGCGGAACAAGAGATATCATTGCTGATGTCAGATGGAGCTAGGCTCAAGGCAAAGAAAAACAGAAAGATGTTTGTGTTTTATTGACTATGCTAAGGTTCTCAACTGTATTGACCATAACTATGACTAACCTTGAGAAGAATGGGTATTCCAGAACACTTCATTGTGCTCATTCAGAACTGGTGCAAGGATTAAGAGGGAGTTGTCAGAAAAGAACAAAAGAATACTGCATGCTTTAAAATCAGGAAAGGTGTCAGAGTTGTATCCTTTCATCATACTTACTCAATCTATATGCTGAGCAAGTAATCTGAGAAGCTGGATTATGTGAAGGATGTGACAACAGAATTGGAGTAAGCCTTATTAACCTGAGATATGCAGACGACATGATCCTGCTTGCTGAAAATGAGAAAGCCTTGCTGATGAAGATCAAGGATTGTAGCCTTCAGTATAGATTACAACTCAATGTAAAGATGACCAAAATCCTCAGAATTGGACCAATAGGTAACATAATGATAAATAGGAAAAAAGTTAAAGTTATCAAGGATTTTATCTTGCTTGGATTTATAATCAATGTTCATGGACAGAGCAGCCAAGAGATCAAAGATGTGTTCTATTAGGTAAATGACCTCTTTAGAGTATTGAAAAGCAAGGATGCTACTTTGAGGACTTGGGTATGCCTGACCAAATCATGGTATTGTCCAGTGCCTCGTATGCATATGAAAGTTGGACACACTGAAGAACGAAGACCGGAGAAGAATCAATGCGTTTGCATTATGGTGCTGGAGAATACCATGGACTGCTAAAGGGGCAAACTGATCTGTCTTGGGAGAAGTACAGCCAGAGTGCTCTTTAGAAGCAAGAATGCCAGGGCTTCATCTTACATCGTTTGGACCAGTCCCTGGAGGCCATCATGTTTGGTAAAGTGGAGGGGCAGCAAATAGAGGAAGGTCCTCAACGAGAGGGACTGACACAGTGGCTGCCATAATGGGCCCAAGCATAAAACAATTGTGAAGATGGCACAGGTCTGGACAATGGTTTGCTCTGTTGTGCATAGGTTAGGTAATAACAATAGGCTGCTAATAACAATAAAATTAACAATAATGCTCATGAGGAATATGTTCCTCAGGAAAGTTCAACTATGTGAAACCAAAAGGAGAGTATTTGCCCCAAAGCAAAATTCAGAAGGCAGGAAATCCAGACAAATGGGAACAGGGTACCGGAGTACACAAGGGGAGAGTGCTGCTATATGAAGGGCATTGAAACCAAAGTCACGAAACAATCTAAGTATAAGCTGTTGGATGGGAAACTACTTTACTTTGTAAACGTTCACCTAAACCACAAGAAAATGTTCCACAAATAAGAATGAGGCTTTTTAAAAAGGCTAGTTCTAAAATGTTGTCTTTCAACGTTTGATGATCACCATCCACCTGCCTTTGCCCGCGAGAGCCCAGAAGTACCACTGTAAGCTACTCTACAAGGCATCCCCAGACAAGGCTTTGTTAAGAGTTGTGACCCCAAAGGACCCCTTATGATGTACATTCCCAAGATGATGCCAACCTCCAACAAGAGTCGCTTCTACTTTTAGGCATATCCTTTTGGGACTGGTGTCCACCGATCTGAAGGTCCAGACCAAGGGGCCCAGCTATACCCCAGGCAAGGAGGACCCCTACTGGGAGCCCATCAGGGGACCATCCTGATAATGGGTTGATACATGGAGTCCATTGAGGATGTGCCGTGCGGGAATACTGTGGACCTGATTGGTGTCGTCCAGTTCTTGGTGATGGTGGGCACCATCACCAACTTTGAGCATGCCCACAACGTGTGTGATGAAATTCAGCGTGAGCCTCATGGTCAGGGTGGCCGAGGAGGCCAAGAACCCCGCCAACTTGCCTAAGCTGGTGGCAGGCCAGAGGTGGCGGGCCAGAAGCGGCGGGCCAAGTCTGATCCCACGGTACAGTGATATCATTGAGGAGTCTGGCAAGCACATTATCGCCACATAAAAGGTGGCGAGCTGCACCTGGAAATCTACCTCAACGACCTGGAGAAAAACCATACCTGAATCCCTATCAAGAAATTCATATCCGGTAGTCTCATACTCTGATACGGTCAGCAAGGAGTCCAGCGCACTCTGCCTGTCCAAGTCCCCCAAGAAGCACAACCCGCTATACATGAAGTGCAGGCCTTCCCCAATGGCCTGGGCAAAGATATCGACAAGGGTAAGGTGTCGGCACCAGGAGCTGAAGCAGCGGGTTCACTACCTAGCAGGTAAGTACGAGTGGGAGGTGGCTGAGGTCTACAAGATCTGGTGCCTCGGCCCAATGGCACCAGCCCCAATATCCTGACTGACATCATCAAGGGTGTGAAGTACTTCAATGAGATCAAGGACGGCATGGTGGCTGGCTTCCAGTACGCAACTAAGGAGGGGCGCTTTGTGAGAACATGAAGGGTGTGCTCGCTCTTTGATGTCCATGTGGCTCTGCACACCGATGCCATCCACCACAGAGGTGGCCAGAACATCCCCCGCCCGGCGCTGCCTCTACCCGAAAGTGTTCATACAGCCCAGCCGCACCTTATGGAGCGCATCTACCTTGTGGAGATGAAATGTCCTGAACAAATGGTCAGTGGCATCTACAGCGTCCTGAACAGGAAGCAGGGCCACATCTTCGAGGAGTCCCAGATGGCTGGCATGGCACCCCCATGTTTGCTGTGAAGCCCTACCTCTGTTCATCAACGAGTCCTTCAGCTTCACAGCTGACCCGAGGTCTAATACGGGTGACCAAGCCTTCCTGCCCAGGAATCCCTTTGACAACACCAGCTGGCCCAGTCAGGGGATGGCTGAGACACACAAGCGCAAAGACTTGAAGGAAGGCATCCCGGCCCTGGACAACTTCTTGGACAAATTGAAGGTGGCCTCACAGTGGCTCAGCCAACATCCACAGGAACAAGTCCTCACGCTCTTGTCACCCTGGATTGCGGAATGGGGGTGGGGGAGGGGCTCCCTCTGTGCCACAGCTGTGTATTCACACTTGATGCCATATCCCCATATTTATTTCAGGGCTTCAGGGGCAGCAGGAATGAATGGCTTTTTTTTTTTTTTTTTTGGCATGATCAATATAAAGTCATTTATTTGTTAAACACAAATAAAATAATCAAGTTTACATTTAAAAAAATACAAATAACATAACAACAACAAAAAATCCTTCATATGTTGTATTCTAAAATAGAAGCCCAGGTCTAAATCTCACAGGACAGCTAAAGGAGTTTGATATGAGAGCTGTTAACTCATAAAAAAGAACATTATATAGATAGCATTTCCTAAATTACATTCTGCAAAGCTGTGGCCATCTTTGTAGCTCCAAGAAATGATTTGAGCATATCCCTTCTTAAGAGTCAGAGTGTGCATGGATCCATGGGAAGTTCTGCTGTTTCACTTGGTGTCTTTGCTTTACTCAGATTTCAAACAAGTAATCAATATGGTAACCTGGGCATTTTGTAAATATATATATGAAATACAAAACCGCACAGCACAGAGAACTATTCTTTAAATTCCACATTATCATTACTTACCACAAAGGTAAAATCTTTCCCTTGGGTTTCAGTTGTTGAGAAATCTAGTCGACCTGGATCTATTGCTCCCAGCTCCCCTAAACATTCCCCACAGAGCAATCGGGCTTGAGAATTTGCATCTTGGCAGCCTTTCAAAAGCACCGTCACCAGCCGTGAAATAACAGGTTCTACTGTTTCACTGTCAGTTGCATATTTTATCACTTTTTCCTAGAACAAAAGTAGAATGAAGCATTTTAAAAATGATCGCAGATCAAATTTATTCATAACTTCTACAAGCTAGTATATTTTCTTCAACTAGAGTGTACAAGGTAGATTTGGTATGTCTTTGGTTTTAATCTCTTATTTCTTCAGTGCCCTTAAAATTTTCACTCTTACATTATATTGCCAAGGAACAGACTAAAGTTCACTGGTCTCATGAAAGAGGACACTTGAAAAGTGAACTCGAGAACAAAGAAATAATTCACTCAAAATGTACAGTGTAAAACATTATTGGCGCTTTATACCAGATATTTATTTAAAATGATGTGAGAAGACTAACATAAAGTGTTGCTGTACAAACACATATACTTTTACTCAAGGAAAATGCAATAATCTAAAACATCAATGATCAAATTACCCTTCAATAAACAAACACCATAATTCTCTCCTGGTTAGCCTTAAAGGCCATCTCCTGGAATACTGATTCTCAGTCAGAATTGACAATCTAGGTAAAATAAAGATTCACTTTCTACTCTATCTACTAAATCCCAAACAAGAATTCCAATCTGTCTTCTTCAAACCTTCGACCTTTTTTCTTCATAGCTTTAATTAAGTCATCTTAGTATACCTGATTTTTATACAAAGTTTCCTTCAAGCTGGTAAGAGCATGAATACGAACGTCTACATTTTCATGTTGGATTGCTTTCATGGAAAGCTGAAGAGTTGTTTGAAGATCAGTGCTCTCAGAAGTCTCCTATACAAATAGAACAGGGAGATAGCTTATTATGTAACTATTTCAGGAAACATTTATGAAGGCCTCAGTACTTAAATGACATCCCAATTAAGAGTTACCACAAAATAATAAAAGTTCCATCCTTTCCTTCATGTCATCTTTGGTAATTATCATAGAACAGGATCCTATTCTAAAATCACTCATATGAGAATGAAATTTGATGCCAGCTAACTAAGATTTCACTTATCTAAAATTAATCTTGATTAGGAGATGTGTCCCTTAACTTACAAAGGGCCACATAATACCCTGACGTGAGGTCTATGGAGAAGGCAAATAATTCACTTCTTACTTTTATTACTTTCTTATGACTTTGATGATTATCAATAGAATAAGAAAAAAAGCCTTCAGCCTAGCCTTGGGCTCTGTAGTCAATACCTCTACTATTCTGACCCAAGGTTGGGTATTGTACTTTCTATTTTAAAGTATTAATGAAGTCCCTGTTAATATTTTCACAATTTCAGAGAGGTTGTTGGACTTAAAAGTATTAGAACTACATATCATTGCCCTTCTACAGCTCAGGAATCCCTCAGCTCTGATAGCTACATATCACATATCACCGTTTGTAGCACGACATAACTAGAATCCACTGGGGAGCTTTTCATCCTTTTAAGGGCGTACAGCTGTGGTAGCTTTTGTTTCTGGGAGCTGCAAGGACATGTTGACCTGAGTAGCAAAGGAAGAAGAACTCTATTCTTGACTCTATTCTATTTTAATGCTTTTACATCTTTAAACTGAATGCTAAAATGTCCCCACAAAAAATATGAATTCATTATAGGATTATCTAGTCATCAGGAATTTACCAGCAAAATCTTATCCCTAGATATGACTATTTAATGTTTTGAAACCTGGGAATAATTTTATATCCATAAACTTCTAAACCATAAATTAAAAATTAAATACCTTTCTGTATTCCTGGAGAACTGCCTTTATTGTTTTTAGTTCTGGATGATCAGGTAAAAAATATATTTCATGAAGAAAGTCTTGCACAGCATCCCTAATAGTTATGTGAAAGAAATAATTATTTGTAAATTATATGAATATAAAAAATGGACAGTAGAGCCTGAAACTGAGGCCAATTTATTTCTATGAGAGTTCATTGGTGAAGTACTCCTCCTGATCACCTCTAGAATGTTCAGCTAATAAAGACAAATAACCAAATCTAAGAAGATCATTCTGTGATAGCTGGCTATATTAATGGCTGTCAAAACAGCACGCTTCTCAGTACTTTTCAATCTGAGCTTAGTGTATGACTAACTCTAACAGATAGAATGTGGCAAAAAAAGATGCTGTGCTAGATTGGGATCTATGCCTTAGAAAGACTTTGTAGCTTCTGGATTTGTGTTCTCGAGAGTATGGCGTCACCATGTAAGAAGAATGGCCAAGAATATGGGTATGACATGGGACAGAGAGCAGCTCAGGGACTACATGGAATGAAGGGAAAGTCAAACCCCCTACCTCTCAGTGATCATGGACAAAAGCAGAAGAATTGTCTAGTTGAGTTCAAGTTTGATTGCACAATCTAAGTCCAAAGATAACACTTCTAAAATCTAGTCTTCATTAACTCAAACCCAACTAAGTATTAAGTAACTACTACAATGTGCTGTGTTCTGTGTGAAACACTGGGCTAGAGATAACTGGGGGTGCAAAAATAATTCTACTCATGGAGCATAAGGTTTTCTATGTAGAAGTTGGTTAAAAAGGCTTTTTTTGAGGCTATGGAAAAAATAGAGAAATGATTCTCCTATAATAAATTAAAATGGCTATATTTGCATAATAATAAATAAAAATGATCATGTGATTCTTTATATATTATTAAAAATACATCTATTTTCATTGAACCTTTCTTTCTGTACTTTTTCCCTGATTGGAAAATTATTGGACCTGATTAATGGGAGTAGTAATAGCAAATGGATAATTAAAACAGAGAACTTAAACCTTAACTTTTCAGAAGCAGAAAAGAACTGTAATATATAAATGCTAAGTAGAAAAATGGAAGTTATTTTTAAAAGTATTTTTAGGCACATTCTAGCCTAAAAAACAGACTGGAGAAGGAAAAAAAAATGCGAAGGTATACTTCATATTTTAGCAGTAGCCGAGACTGGCTTTCACCTAGTGTCTAGCCTAGTTATAAAATCATGAGGAAAGATTTCAGGAAATAAAATATGGCCATTCTGCAAAGTGTTGAATGCGGAGCTACATAACCCACTTGGAATTCACCAGTGATAAAGTGGAGATCCACAGACTATCCCGACACTACTGGAAAGACACAGATTGCCATGCTTTTAAGAGACCATCCGAACAACAGTATGAATGGGATAAATGCTTAAAGGAAGAAAGACTAGTTAAAAACTAGCAATAAAACAATAAGGGTTTCATCAACTGAAGTAAACTGTAGAAAGCAAGTAAATAACCTTTAATATTTTAAATTCTATTCTACTGCCTTTAATTGTGAAAAAGCTAATTTAGCTTACTCTTTCAGGTTTAATGACAAATTATTTTGAACTATTGAACAATTAAATTTTTAGTGTAAATATAAGTATCATGAAGTAAATGCCCACATAGAAACAAAATTAGTTCATTATGTACTGACTTAAAGCATGTCAATAATTTTTGTTTACTGATGGACTCTAAATTAACAGGGATAAGAAGAGTTCCACAATAGCAACAATACAATCGGAGACAAAACTACACTAATAAACAGTTGTATCTTTATCATTAATTTCAGATAACAATACCTGTTTTCAATGATGAGGTAGTGAAATATGGCAGCAGTTTCTTTAGGCTGAACGTGTATGAGAGGTAACAAAGCTACTATCACATGACTGAGAAGGGAGCCTAGATAAGCATGATCTAGGCAACGAACAAAGCAGTCCCAAGCCCTATGGAAAACACAAAATCAACGGTCACATTACTTCTGTTATTTGAGCCCCATCAATAATATATTAGAGAAAAAAAATTATATATTCAAACAACAGATTAAAAGACAAATGTAAAAAAGAAATAAAGATCAACAGTATAAAACCAAACACAGTGAACTCCAGCGTTTATAAAAACCAGGTACCAAGTCTATGGTATACACTATATTGTAAGTTAATAGGAATAATTTCTATGAGTATATGTGCATTTGTTTATAGTCTTTATAGGAAGAATATATAAAAACTAATATAGATGGATATTTATAAAAGTCAGGAATAGAAGTTAGATTACTCTGAATGCAGCCTTTTAAACACATTTAAATTTGGAACAGTATATATTATACATGATTTTTAAATTAAATGAGAGGGAAAATGCAAGCCCTAAAAATGTTAAACAAATGAATTTAAAGTTGCTGGCATATCTATAGAGAAAAATATTAAAACACATTATTCTGACTACATATTTATAATAGAAAATATTCTAAGGACAAAAAGAACCTCCCCAAAGGCTAAAACTGCACTCAGTTGTCTTATTACAATAGTCTTATTGCAATAGTCGTGTCTAGATTACACACACACTTGTGGGTACACACAAAGGAGCTCTGGTGGTGTCTTGGGTTAAATACTGGGCTGCTAACCATGAAGGCAGTACAAATGTACCAACCACTCTACTGGAGGCAAAAACTCAAACCAAACTCACTGCCATCGAGTCAATGCCAATTCACAGTGACCCTAAAGAATGGGCAGACTTGCCCCTGGGAGTTTACAGGAGTAAAAGCCCCATCTTTACTGTAGAGTAGCTGGCAGCCCAATTTGTAACCACTATGCCAACAGGACTGGAGAAAGATGAGGCTTTCTACTCCTATAAAGAGTTACAGTC